GTTTCCGCCCCCACTGTCTGCCCCCCCAACTTTCCTCCTCTCCCCCATTTTCTTTGCCCCCCCCACACACACTTTCTGTATATGCCTCCTGACTGTTGGTCTGTCTCCTCCATTGTCTGTCCCAATTTTCCTCCTGTCCCCACACTGTCTTTCTGTTCCCCTGACTTTCCTCTATCCCCTAGACCAGTGGTCCCCAACCTTTTGGGGCTGCTGGGCACCTGGGGGCGCCACGCACCTGGGGCCGGCACAGCACATGCGCAGCACGCCCGGAGTAGGGGTTGCGCACGTGCTGCGTGACCAGGGGCAGGGGCCACCCATGAACCACGCACCTGGTGGCGGGGCTGCCCATGCGCCACGCGTCCGGGGCCGGCACCGCGCCTGCGTCACGCACCCGGGGCGCTGATCACTCGGTGGGCGCACATAAATGCCCTGGCGGGCGCCATGGCCCCCGAAGACACCGCGTTGGGGACCACTGCCCTAGTCTGTCTCTCTCTTACCCAACTATCTTCCTGTCCCTCTTTCTCTCTTCTCTTTCTTTTTCTCTGTCTTCTGCTCACCTCCTACGCCTTGCCCACTTTCTCATTCCCCATGGGCCAAAAAGTTGGAGAACCACTGATCTCGATGGGCCATGGGCCAAAAAGTTTGAGAACCAGAGGTATCTCGAAATAGCTATTCTGCATCTTTTGTGTGTGCCCATTATTTTGAAATATAACGAGCTCACTATTCTGAGGTCCCTGTAAACCTCATTCCACGAGGAGTAAGGGACGTTTTGGAATAGCGATTTATTTTGAAATAAGTGCTGTGTAGACAGCGCCAAATTTCAAAATAAGCTATTTCGAAATTGACTCGAAATAAGGTATGCAATTTTCATAGCTCAAATTGTGTAGCTTATTTCAAGCTCTGGGTGCAGTGTAGACGCACTTCTGTGCCCTTTCCCTTCCTTCTTTAGTGTCCTATCCTTTTTTCCTTCCCAGTATTCATAGCTTTCATTCTTTTTCCATTCAGTCGCTTTACACTCTTTTGCTGCCTATGCCCTGTCTTTCTTTCCCTCCTTTCTGTCCCAACCCCTATTATGCTCCTTTCCCACTCTTGCCCTGGCACAGACCTGGGGGGGAGGTAGGTAGGCAGGCATCTGTACTGTCTCAATCTGCGATCATCTGAATGAAGAAAGGAAAAAGAGGAGCTTTGCAGGGTTTCATTGACACTCTTGTAGTCTGTGGCAGAGCTGATCCGGAAATATTATTTTTTCCCCCTTATAGAAAATCTTTACAGAAATGAGGGGGAAAAATGGTTTTCATTGAAATCTTCAGGAGAAACCAGGTATTTTAATGTAGTCAATATTGCAGTTTTCTGTCATGAAGTAGTTTCACCAGCTCTAGCTAATACCCGACCATGTGCTCTGTATCCCCTTCCCAAAGAGGATGAGAGACTGTGACTGCTCAGCTGGACAGCAAAGCTCTTCAGCTCCAAGGCTGTGTCTAGACTGGTCAGTTTTTCCGGAAAATCAGCCGATTTTCCGGAAAAACTTGCCAGCTGTCTACACTGGCCGCTTGAATTTCCGCAAAAGCACTGACTTCCTAATGTAAGAAATCAGTGCTTTTTGCAGAAATACTATGCTGGTCCCGTTCGGGCAAAAGTCTCTTTTGCGCAAAAGGGCCAGTGTAGGCAGCTGAGATTTGTTTTCCGCAAAAAAGCCCCGATCGCGAAAATGGCCATCAGGGCTTTTTTGCGGAAAAGCGCGTCTAGATTGGCCGCGGACGCTTTTCCACAAAAAGTGCTTTTGCAGAAAAGCGTCCGTGCCAATCTAGACACTTAGTTCTGAAAATGCTTTTAACGGAAAACTTTTCCGTTAAAAGCATTTCCAAAAATCATGCTCAATAGTAGAATGTGGCCATCACAAATCCTTCAAAACCAGCCCTTATCCTACCTACTGTGTTTTTTGTAGCCGTGTTGGTCCCAGGGAATTAGACAAAGTGGGTGAGGTGTTAGTCCAATAAAAGACATTGCCTCACCTATCGATAGCACCAAAAGATTGTCTGTCAGCTCAGGTAACAGCAGCCCATACTTTTAGAGCAGCACAACCTGAGTTCTAGTACTTCTGTCATTATAATAGTCCAAGCAGTGACAGCGTATAGCAAGATAACAACTCTTGAAGATTCTAGATGGCCTTCATTACAAACCTTAGTGCCCCCTATAGAAATGTTATCTGCTGACAGAGGAAAAGGGAACTCCACTATGCCTTGCATGTCTCCTTTGACTCCCAAAGAGGTAGGGCTGTCTGTATGATGAGGTCCTATACCCCCTTTATTGGCTTGCAATTACCTATCCAAGAGTCCAAACAGGCTTATGTTGCTTCTTCAGATCAGATCAGACCAGTCCCTGCCAAGTCTCCCTGAATACGGTGATCTGCTCAACTAGGACAGGGCTTCAAGGCCAGTAGGAATCACAAAGAAAAACAAAAGCGGCGAGGAGTCCTGTGGCACCTTATAGACTAACTGAAGTGTAGGAGCATAAGCTTTCGTGGGCAAAGACCCACTTTGCTTATGCTCCTACACTTCAGTTAG